AGGGAGGGAGGGTGGGACGGAGTGAGTAAAGGGAGGGACAGACAGACAGACTCACTCACTCACCCGCCCGCAGTGGGGGGAGCCCCTTAGCTGGCACCACCAGGCCGTTTCCAGCGGGTGAGTTTGCCATTTCGCATTTTCTCATCCACTTTTAAGTCTCCTGTTTGTTTGTTTCTAACCCCCTTCACGTCTCCTCTACAGCACCCCCTCCCCGGCTCGGACCCCCCCTTTACCTTTCCACGTGCCTTAGCATCCCCCCGCCTCTTCTCCTCCCCCCCCCGCGCCCTGGCTTTTGCATAAAGCCCCGGAGACGCAATGGGAAAAAGCTGCGGCTGTTTCACCTCTGAGGCTCTTCCTCTTTCTTTATGTCCCATCTGTGCACCTCATTCATCCCTCCCCCCTCCTATTCTTTCTTCCACGCGCTGGACGATGCACACATGACCCTAGCAAGTTGGAAGCCGCCTCTACTCTCTGCCCCCGTCTCTGTTTGTGCGTGCGCGCGTGTGTAAAAAAGCCCCTCAGGCGGGAAAGGGGAGGTGGGAGCGCTCGGACACGGGCAGGGTTTGCTGGCGGGGCGTGTGCGCTTCCTTTGGTAACTTGGGGCGCTTTACGGCGAGGAAGACGGGGAAAAACTTTTAGTCTACTTGCAACAAACTTTTGCCCCGTGTGCTTTTGCCTTCTTTTGCTTTCGTGCAGCGAACTTCAATGAATAGGCCTTTGGGACTCACACCTTACCCGCTCACTTAACTTGAACTCGCCGGTTTTCGTACGCGCGCGCGCGCACACGCACACGGGTCACAGTTCCGTGCTCTTCTCTGGTTGAGCGTGCGCGGTTGTCACCAGAGTTCCTCTCCTACATCTCCATCCCGTGGGTTTGTATGAGTGTGCAAACCACAGAAAACAATTTGCCAGTTCGTGTACTCCAGCACTAACTTAATCGTGCGTACTAGACTGCATTTAATGGTACACAACAACCAGACTGAACGGGTAATGCCCCCTTTGCCCCACGCCAACGATAGCATCACACTTCACTACAAAGACACCTTCGGACTAGAGGCAGAAACACTCACACACAAGTGACAAAGCCGACACAGTACTAACCTCTCTCGTTTCTTAGACCACACCAGCCAAGCACTTCTGTGGTCGGTAATCCATGCTCGCAATTAGACTCAAGGCGCGCAGAAATACCTTAAATCCACTGAAGGAAACCAAGAATAGACGCCCCCAGAGCCACAAATGTACACGTTCACGCGCACGCACACACACGCACTCGCTCCCATACGCAATGTAAGGAATGTGTGCAGGAATGTGGAAGGGTCGTCGAAGCTTTCCCCCCCCAGTGCCTTGTGTTCGGTGCCGGGCATAAGGAGAACTTCCCGCGCGCCAAGTCGCGCGCCTTTTCTCTTGCTCCGCGTTCAAGTAGCGGTCGCCGCGCATTCCAGAAAGACACGCTCGAGGGAGCCCCGGACGTGCTATTTCCCAAGCGCTCGGCAACAGCCGTCCACAGCGGACAGACACAGCCTTCGCACAAGTGGCACCGCTTCGTCACTCTCTGTCTCTCCCCCCGCGTGTCAATCAAAGTCTTACACTAACATAATCTTACACCGCCGTCCTTTAGCCGGTGCCTGCGCTAAACTTCCTCGGTCTGGTCTCTGTACCTGATGCTGGTTTACTGCCTCCAGACGTGCTGAGTGTTTCGCCGCTTCCGGTGGCTGTAGCAAGCCGAACGTCTTCTCAGCCGGGGCAAGTTAGGAAAAGTTAGAACGGGGCGCTGCAACTCGGCTGTGCGAGCTCTGCCAGCCCCGCACCCGGGCCCTTTTGCTTTTCCTAACTCCCCTTCGGGGCCACCTCCGTGCCCCTTCACCTGTTATTGGGTCTTGCAAGGCAGGCAGACCTAGAGTGATTTTGAGGCGTGACAGTCCCTACCCCGGCACGATCTTTTCCTTTTCCTGTGCTTGGAAATGGGAGCACGTCTTTCCACCTCACCCTCCAGGCAGCGACTGCTTCCCCGCCTTGGGTGCCTCAGTTGTAGCTGTCTTTTGACCTGCAGCTTCCCACATCCAAGCATCTTGCCATGATTTGCTTTTGGTGCATCACTTCTGCAAAAACAGCAGATCCCAGCTGAGTTTGGAGGAGCATTGAGAGAGAGGAGAGTGAAAGGGAGACTGTGTGTCTGTCACAATTTTAAATCCTGTTACTAGAGCAGAGTTCTTGATTTCCTTTCTTGCAAGTGCTTTCCAAGGTCCCCCCCCCCCATCCCTTAGACACAAGCACATATTTTCCCCTCCCTCTTCCAGGTCTTAGCCTCCCCATCTCTTAGCCAAAATCTGTTTTGTGGAGACTTGTTGAAAGTACCCTTGGTTTCTTCTCGACTATAGAACCCAAAGTTTTGCCTGCTGGAGATCACAGGAGCAACAAGAGTCCTTGGGTTAGGAGTTGGGTGCTGACCGTGGCAATCATACCATTGCAGAGCTTTTTTCTGTCGGTAAGTATAAGAGAACCAGTGGAGGCTTTAAGCAAAAAACCCCACTATAGGGCAACAATTGTATATGATTCCTAAAGGACATACACACCTCCAGTTTGCCAGATGTGCGGGCTCTGATTTTTTTTGCTTCAAGCAATTGAAATCAGAAAAAGAGAAGGAAGGGTTGCATACAAAATACAGTGTCCTTGTTTTTAAGCTTAAAACCAGAGTTCAGGAGTTTAGCAAACAATATAAATGCTGTCATAAAAGATGATGGCAGTTCTTTCCTTCTCCATTTCATCCCATCTCGCTTGATAACTATTAATTATTTCCAAGTCATTGTGTTCTGATACCATTGCTAGCCTGATTACTAAGTGTATTGATTTTACAATGTCTACATCTGACATGGTTTAATTTTTTTCCCCATTTTCTTAAATAGAATACAGCAAGACCCAAAGTTCAGGAATAACTATGGAAGACAGTGGCCCAGCTTGTGTTGATTTCAATTGGGGTGGGAATATTGCAGTTACACCCCCAATATGATCTCTGGAATGTCTGTTGATTCTGTTTTAAAAAGTGAAACATCCCCACTTCTTGGGAAGATAAAAGGAGTCTTTAGAAGCTTACAGTTGCTTTCAAATACCAAATCTTTCAGAATAAGAGCCCTTAGAAGTTTCAGGTTTCATTTTTGATCAATGTTATGAATGAATAATGGGATCAAATTTTACAAATGGTGTGTATGTTTGGTACATAATTTAGAGTGTTCATAGGTTCAGTTTTAACATTTAAAGATGCATACATTTTCCTGTTTACTTGGTAATTTCAACATTTATTTTTTTATCTGATTTTATGAAGTCACAGAAACCTCATGAGAATTTTTGTACTGTTATAGGTAATTATAAGGAATAATGCTAATGCTATTTGTTTAAGACAATTGTTTCTACTTATAATTGTGTAATGCAGTAGAGAAAAGTAAACCTTTCAAATACTTTATATTCTTTTTATAAATTAGAAGAGGCAAGTATTTTTCAAGCTTAAAAAGGAAATAGCAACTGTTAAGAACAAAATGAATCTGGGGGAAGAATTGCAAATAAGAGGATTGTAAAGAAATGTGGACTATTTAAATTAATGTATAATTCAACTTAATGTTTTTAGTACTATGCAGATTGAAACAGTGAGAAAACCTTGTCACTTTTGTTCAAAATGTGTCAGCTACAATTTCATTGGAAAAAGGTATTTCAGCTGTAACTTCTTACATTGGCAGCATTCTTTCCTTTCAGTCTTTTTAGTCATTGTATAAGAGAGGGATGGAGTGGGAGTCACTTTTTTTAAAGTAAACAGCTTCCAACAAGTGAACCTTGACAACCCAGATTAAGGAAGGCAGTAGAGATCAAACAAAGCTGCTGCCGGGCTGTCGTTAAGAGCAGCTTCACTGAAAGATTCGGACTATTCGATCAGGCAGCAAGATTTCTATGTTCAGTTATGCAGAAATGGACCATTACAAATACTTGGTTACTAAATCTAAAGATAACTTGGAGGAAAGCTTATCTGTCTTGTTTTGCTTTTAGATTTTTAACCTAATTATTATTTGAACGACTAGTTATTTTAAGGAAAGGCTAGCCCTGATTTGACTGAATTACTTATTTACGCTCCACTGATGTGCAACTGTCTTTTTACTTCTAACACCTTGAAGTGCAGAGACAAATGCTTGCATTCCCCAGAATATATAAAAATGGGCCAGAAAATAAAAGTTTAGCTCTTTGGTTATAGATTCTCTGCATTGTCAGGGAAGAAAGACATTTTGGAGGCTCTGGAAGCATTCTGATATAAATGGGAATAGTTTAATTTTGCAATAGTTTTGTATTTTGTAGTTGTAGAAAGTTGAAGTAATAATTTTCTAAATTTCAGAACATACTAGTCTCACTGATTTGTAAGACTACTTAGTATTTTAAATTTTTTTTTAAGTTTTACTTTATTTTTTCAAAAAAACTGTAAGCATTAATTATAGTATTTTATTGAATTTGAATGTTTAAAAATAACTTTAGATATAATTGCCATACATCTTACACCATTTACTCAGAAATAAAATACATTATGTTGTTATAAGGGCTTATTACTTAATTTACATTTAACTTGTAGTGCAGGGTCCTTTATTCAGTTATCAGAGAGGAGCCCCATTGAAACCAGTGGCAGTTCCTTATGAGAAGACTTACTAGGATTACATTACAGTCTGTGTTTACTTTTTTTTGAAATATTTTAAGATTTCTGTAGTTGAATTTTTAGTGGTGCTATTTCCACTTATTATTTTCAGACTAGTTGCTTATCGTTACCATTATTTTTACAAAAGGCATTTTAAAAATTAGAAAACTCCCATTTGCAAGTATAGGTAAATTAGAAATACAAATGTTAAATGGCTATTAATGAATGAGTAGTCACCATCACTTAAATGGATCTTTCATTAGCATTTCAGTTCAAAAAATAAACACATATTCTTTTTGAAAGCACGTGCTTTGTAATCATCCAAACAACTTATTACACTAATTGTGAGTTTTTAAAATTACCAGTGTATTTATTATTTGATAAAGTGCATGTTCATTAAACATACATATGGCTGTTCTGCCATTTGTGGTAATATGTAACATGCCTGTCTTTAAAAAGCTATAAATTTAACCCTCATATCTTCAGCATTTCTACTAACCAGTATAAAAATAATTTATTTCTGCGCTGGTAAGAAAATTAAGTCCATTTCCTTCCAGGACCTAATTTGTACAGTGTTTTTATAATGTAAGTGCAGTACAGTTTATAGGTGAAAGGCTTCCATTTTAATTGGATATATGTGATGTTTTACACATTGATAACAATGCAATAATGAAATCCAACATTGCTTTGTCTTATATTGTGAAAAGTGTTGAACTTTTCCAAATTGAACACAGGTACTGGTGTTCTTGTGTCCTGCCAGTCTTTTTTTTAACTGAAAGTTAATGAGTATAATCCAGGTACATTATAATTAATGGCAATTCCCATTGATTTTTGGAAGGTAGATTACACCCGCTGAATATTCTTTTATATAAATACATCAGCTGTTAGATACAGTGTTTAATTCATATGCAAACCTATGAAAGCATAACTCTGCAAAGGGTTTCAGTTAATGTGTTTTATATATACAGGATTTCAGTGAATAGTATAATTTCACCAATGTCCAGTGATGTATAGGATACAATAGTGTTTTGCCTTCAAAACGTTCCTGGATATTACTCTAATAAACTTTACATAATGATAGTCTGACGGTATAATAGTATACATTTTGTTTATGATTCTGTTTCTATACTAAAAGAAACTTCTTTAACCCCAAAATGGAGTGGCAATAAGTGCTGCTACTTCCTTTTGCTCTCATGATAGTCTTAAATTATAATTTAATTCACTGCACTGAGCTTGAAATTTTTTGATGCGGCTCAGTAAGATTTCATATATACATTTGCGCGCAATCATGTATATTTTTAAAAGGCAACAGTATAGCAGTATGATACTTTCTCTGTTTCTGAATGGAACATTTTGTTGTTTTGTAGTTTGCTTTGAAGTCAGAGGAAACTGCAGTATGTCCCTTACTCCTCTTTCTAGACCCATTCTACTGTTATAGCTTCTGGCCTTCTAAAGTAGCATTATAAGAGCATCAGGTGTGTATATGTGTGAGTAAGAAGGAGAGAATGAGTGACTAAAAGTTCTATATAGAATCTTCATTAGTTAAGTTCAGAGTTTATTAATGCAAATAGCAGTTTTTATTTATCTGAACTAATTATGTAAACATTCTGAAATACCTTGGGATGCTGGAAGGAGGTCCAGAGAAGGTCTGCACTGTATCAGAGAGTATAACTCCTACTTTTTTCTCCTTTCAGCTTACCTCAGATCATTTTTAGTGAATTGAACAACTTCAGGAAAAAATGCTTAAAGCCAACTCAAAGGAAAAAGACACAAGTTCAGTATTAAAATTACAGCATTAAGGAAAAGTTAGTTTATGTTCTCAGTCCATCGTGGATTCAATTCCATTTGCTGCAATGATATTGAAGGTGTATAACTTGATAGTTATAGTTATACTGTTACAAATATTAAAGAACATACTTTATTCTGAAGAGGTATCTGTTTTAGTATATCACTGTTAAAATGTGATGAGTGTCCTATCTCAAGCTGTGGGGCTGGAAGCACAGAATGGATACCAGATTCTCTTGAACTGCTATCAATCATATGCAGTTCCCGTTGGGCTCCATTTTCCTATATCTGGGACAAAACCTTGAAATCAAGACCCTCATTTGGGTTCCAGTTGTGATTTGAACAGAAGTAGTACAGGATTCACTTGACACTAGAATAGATTGGCACTTCTTGGTCTTTGTTGCTGTTATATTATTATTTCCTCATTAAATTTT